CAGTAAATGTTATCTGTCTTTAAAAATGATTTCATTTAGTAAGTGCTTCTTGAGTTCCTAGAACTTCTATAAGCCTGATGAAGAAGGTTCTCGAGGATTCAGAAAGCACAGACCTGCCTGGCTGTTGTTTGGGGTGGAATGAGAAAGGATCTTATCTGTGATATATTTAAATGGCATTTCTGGTTACCAGTTGAGCCCCCCCCTCCATACTTCCTTCCTTGTACTTTTGGGGAAGACGTGGCCCCATTTCAAAGCTCTTTACCTTTGGTACTGTTCAGAAAGGAAACTTGTTCCTGGTTAGTGAATCACTCTTCCTGAAGCTCACTTTTTAAATGAGTCGCTGGGAGAACTCCAATGTGGAAACGATTTGAGGCTGAAAAAAAGCCAGCCCTTTGCTATCAGCTGTTTGCACAGGCATAGATCCTATGCTTCCCATGGAAATGTCCTGTTCATCCACACCTATCCCTTGACCCTAAGGGAATATGCTCCCCTTCCCAGGGGCAGGTCAGGGCTTTCCCTGACCCTTTCTCTCCTCTCTGGACTCCATTTTGCAAAACTTTTGCAGGTCCAAACACTGAACCGAATTTAACAGCTATTCAGAGTTCTCATTTATAAAATATTTTCAGTGTGTTTGGGTACAAGTCTTCTAGAGACTTCTGGAGTTAGATTTCTCATCTTTCTTTGCAGTTCCAAAGTTTATAAACAGTTTGTGCCTCTGAAGCTGTCACTCAAGAGTGATTGCTCACTGAGTGACCAGCTGCTGACCTGTGGGAGCAGGTTTTGCTGTCCCTTGTTTGCCCCCACCCCTCTCGCCTTCCCCTTGTTCTTTCTGTGTGTCAACCCCTGCCTCTGCCAATAGAGAATGAAATTGAGGTCTCTATTTAAAAGGGAAAGCTGGCAGTTGGCTGCCAGCAGAGCATTGGCTTTGGTATGTTTTGTTTTCGTGTGTGTTTTGTTTTTTAATGTGTGTGAGACTCCTGGCCCATCAAGAATGAGAGGACTGGGGAAACAGGCTCTCAATGAGCAGGGGAAACATTGCTTTGATTCCAGTGCACAGAGGTTCATAGTCCACCTCAGACCGAGAGAATGGCTCATTCTGGAGAACATTGGCTGTTTTGATAACAACTTGCACTGTTAGGCCCTGGCCCTGCGTGCCCATCTGGTGGCTGAGCACCTTATGTGACACACTTTCTACCTACACTCCTTGTACCCTCCCTCATCTGCCTCACCATCTACTTGGCTCTGCACAGAGCAGGCTGTGGTCTTATTAACATCCCAAAGAGCTTGTTGACTTGAGTCATCCAGCTGCCATAGGTGGCCTAGTGAGGTGCTGTCCTGACTCTGGGCTGAAGGGCTGGGTTAACTGGAAGGGAGGCAGTTAGCTGAGTCATCAGGAAGGGCAGGAGAATGACCTGTAATTTAGGAAGGGCTCCCTAGTCTCAGAACTAACCCCATGCCTCTTATTTCTCCCCTGCAGTTGGAGGCCCCCTCCCCACTAAGTGCCTCCTTGCCTAGCACCGGCCCCCATCCCCACGCTCACTGGTACTACTTCGGCGGGACGGGCCATGGCGGGTCGGGGAGGAGCAGCACGGCCCAACGGACCAGCCGCTGGGAACAAGATTTGTCAGTTTAAGCTGGTTCTGCTAGGGGAGTCTGCAGTGGGCAAATCCAGTCTCGTCCTCCGCTTTGTCAAGGGACAATTCCATGAGTACCAGGAGAGCACAATTGGAGGTGAGTGGACACAGGGAAATGGGATACCTCAGAGAGGCCAAAGAAATGCCTTGGCCTAGATAGGAGAATCTGACTTCACACAGAGACTAAATATGTCTGAGATTGCAGCACCTCTTTCTCATTAGCCCCTATAATTGAAACTAGTAGCTGGACTCCATGTCATGACTAGTAGGAGTTACCTGGGTTCAGCTTCTTTTTTATTGTGTGGCCTTGGCTGAGCCTTTTCCACTGACCTGGACTCAGGGAAGGAGAAGCTAGCTCTGGATCTATGAGGGTTCTTCTTACTAAAAGGAGCAATGTATCTGCCCTGGCCCCTCCTGCTTTCCAGATGGGAATGGCTGGTGAGTCAGCTGGTAATAGGTTGGCATTGCTGAAGTTGAAGTTTACCCTCTGTGGAGCTCAGTGCATATTGTCGATTCCCCATTGGTCAGTATTTAGGTTGTGAGTTAGGGTCTGGACTCAGCCTCTCACCTGAGTGGTCACTGTAAACTCGAAGCCAGGATCAGCCTTGGACTTGAGTCATCCTTTCTCTGCTCTCTTGGGTGGTAGGAGATTTCCAGGCAGCTGGAAACAAAATGAGCCATGTCAGCAGTCTTCCTGCTACCCCTTCAACATTCGTCCAGAGCTGGAAAGGGGGAAGTGGGGCGGTGCCCAAGGCCCTCAGTAGGTGGGGGAGGGCAGACATTGAAAACAGCTTTCTACACAGAGCTGTCTGGGATCCTGTGCTGTGTCCAGGCTGTCTTTTCTAGCACTGAGTATCCTCCTTTGAAGCATATGCGTAAGTGCTTCATGTTCCCCTGTTAGGTTCCCTGTGTTCCCTGAACATCAAGCCACAGGGTACTGAAATGGCTCTGGGTCCAAGCTGGGGGCAGTGGCTATCTGGAGTGTCTGGAAGTGCCCATCTCAACAGTTGGCTTCTGAGTATCAAAGCCTAGAAAATATGTAGGGGTAGCTTCTAACCCATCCTTGCCTGGTGACACTACCTTCTCTCTTACAGCGGCCTTCCTTACACAGACTGTCTGCTTGGACGACACAACAGTCAAGTTTGAGATCTGGGACACAGCTGGACAGGAGCGGTATCACAGCCTGGCCCCCATGTACTACCGGGGGGCCCAGGCTGCCATCGTGGTCTATGACATCACCAACACAGTAAAGATTTTCTCTTCTTCCTTGCCTTCATCTTTTTTATTTTTTCTTTTTAGTATTTTTTATTTTTAGTTGTTGATGGACCTTTATTTATTCATTTATTTATATGCAGTGCTGAAAATCGAACCCAGTGCCTCACATATGCTAGGCAAGTGCTCTACCACTGAGCCACAACCCTAGCCCTGCCCTCATCTTGAAACCCCAGGAATTGGCTATAAATGCCCCCATTTCAGGCCTTTTGGCCCTCTGTTCTTGGGTGGGATGTGGGCAGATTTCCTCTGTTAATTAGGGACATCTCATCAGAATCTTTAGGGGTGGCATCTTAGATAACTTGGCTTTGCCAGCTTGAGCTTCACTCATGAGTGGCACTGGGCAGAATGCCTCCTGACATTTTGACCCTGTCTCCTCAGGATACATTTGCACGGGCCAAGAACTGGGTGAAGGAGTTACAGAGGCAGGCCAGCCCCAACATCGTCATTGCACTCGCGGGTAACAAGGCAGACCTGGCCAGCAAGAGAGCCGTGGAGTTCCAGGTGGGGAAATGACAGGACTTGGGGATGTGTGAGCCAGCTCCACCAGGCCTCCCTGGGTTGCTCAGGGGCTGTATAAAGGGCCACACAAGGACCAGCACGCAGCTTTCATCTCCGTTCCTCCATGGCTCAACCTTGGGCCTTGGAGGAACTGCCACCTGCCTCTCCCTTGTTCTTTTTCTTTGGTGATGGGTGTGTTTGTGAATGAGTGAAGCTTCTTATTTCATCTTAAGAACTGAGTTTCCTGATAAAGAAGTCCTCTTTTCATATAAAATGTGTACACAGTAAAATTTATACATTCACTCTCTTTTCTCCTTAGAAACTCAGCCTTTCTTCCCTGAAGTTCCCCAGTTTTTCTTTCCAGAAATGTCCATATGTTTGTGAATCTCTTTCTTTGCATAGATGGCAGTATGCTATACATACTGTGTTTTCTAATTTCTCTTTGGGCCAGGTCCTAATTGATGGGCTTCTAGGTAGTTTGTAATAACTTCTGGTAGTTTGTAATGACAAGTAGCATCCTCATACTTTGGTGCTTTTGCCCAAATGTGCAAGTGTATTTGTAAGATAACTTCCAGAAGTATGTCCAAGCCTGGTGATTTTGAAGGGCAAGAATGCAGAATGGACCTAGGGAAGCTAGAGTAAGGCATCTGCTTATACTGGTGAGCTACGATGCTGTGTGGAATAAGAGGGCTGGGAGTGTGGAGCAGAGACCTCAGGGGGAACCTGGAGCAGGGGAGCTTAGTCCTAAAAACCCTGCATTTGTCCAGTCAGTCTCTATTGTACGTAAAGACTGTGAACAGTGAACATTTTATCCGGGGCCCTGGCCCCTACCAACATTTCCTTTCCATCCTCTTTCTGGCCTCTGTTGAGAATCAGGAAGCACAGGCTTACGCAGATGACAACAGTTTGCTGTTCATGGAGACATCAGCAAAGACTGCAATGAACGTGAATGAAATTTTCATGGCAATAGGTAAGTTGCCTCTTGTCCCCTTCCCACCATCACCAAAGGCATGTTCCTTATGTGCTATTCTCTAGTGGGTCTGTGGGGTCCCTTCAACAGAACTTGCACTTTTTTTTTAACGTTCTGATAAACTCATTGTCTTTTCCATCTGACTCCCACATGTAAGAGAACTGAGCACTGTCTGAAGCCCAAGGCAAAGTTTGAACATTTTACTTCCTGACKCTTCACTTGCCACCCATTTCAGAGCCTGCCATTGCTGTCCTTTACCCCTTCTTAGGATTTTTTAGCTCACTTGACTCAGGAGTCATCCTGCCTGGGTTCATTCCTGGCTCTACCACTAATGAGCTCTGTGGTGTTGGTATTTAACTTTTCTTATGTCTCAGTTTTCTGAAACACTCAAAATGTACTTGGTGACAGCAGCCCTCCATTTGTTAGCACTGATTAGTAGGTAAGGACCAGACTGCTCCAGTGCAGTTGGCAGAGAGTATTGGGGTGGCCCTACTGCTACATTTTCTCTCTCTCAAACAGCTAAGAAGCTTCCCAAGAACGAGCCTCAGAATGCAGCTGGTGCTCCAGGCGGGACCCGAGGGGTGAACCTCCAGGAGAGCAACCCAGCCAGCCGGAGCCAGTGCTGCAGCAACTGAGCCCCCCTTGCCTGCCACTGCCCCCACCTCCTCCGCCTGAATGACCCGACTGGAATCCACTCTAACCAATCGCACTTAACGACTCGGGCCACCACTGGGGGCAGGGGAGGGGTCCACCATGATTTCTCAGTATAACTTTGATCCTAGGCTGGAGGGAGTTATTCCACCTGCACCTTTCTGTACAAATACTAATTCAATTTTAAGTCTTAAGTCACTTTTTTAATATATATGATCTTCTGCTCTTCCCACTTCCCCCCTTTCTACTATACTCTCCCATTTGTCCTTTGCTGGTAGTAGCCACATGCTCCTGCCCCCCACCCCCTTGTCTGTGGGGTCGGGGCTTGGAACAGTTACCCCTCCCTTCCCTTCCCTTCCCTCTTGCTGAAGAGTAGCCTTAGCAAGAGCATCCACATCCTTACCTTGTTGGGAGTGGTCTTAGTCTGGGGTGGTGGGCAGGCCCTGGGCTGGGAAGGGGACAGGCAGCTCTGCCCTCAGCTGGCTGTCATCAGGCTGCAGCCTCCTTCCCACCCAACTCCCAGCTGGGAGAGAAAACGCAGCATTACCGAAGCATCATTGTGACAGCCACGCATCCATTGCCCATGACCCCTCCACCCTCGGTCACCTGACCTCTGGCTCTGAGCCCTGTTCTGACCAAATCACGATGATGAGTATTTGGGGGTGGGTGGGTAAGGGGGGGAGTGGGAGGGGATGGAACCAACTTTTTCTGTATTTTGTATTGTATGTTTTCTTCAACATGTAACCAATCAGTATCTTGTCAATATAGTCAGCCGATCGATCGACCTCACACTTGTCTTCCTCGTCTTTCTCTGGCAGAGTTTATCAGACCATGTCCTTTCTAGTTCACTAAATTTAAATGAACCACTGAATCTTGCTAAACAAAAGCTTCCCCCCTAACGTGAGGGGATGCTGGTGGTCATGGTAACCAAGAGAAAGAGGTTCTTGCTGTTAGCTCTGATGGGTAGCCGGTGGAATAGGAATGACTTGGGGCTGACCATGTTTGAAGTTAAGGGTCCTGCATTTGCCTCTAAACCATCCCCTAGCCTATCCCCCACCAGCTTACATTGGGGGATATGTAGCTTGGGTTGGGAAAAAAAAAAAATCTTTGGACTCTGAAGAAACAACCTCTGTGGTGTTTTTTTGTTTTTGTTTTGTTGTTGGTGGTGGCTTATACCAAGCCTGTGAGGGATGGATCCTTTCAGGACTGGACAAGAGGCCAAGTCTGCAGCCCCTTGCTTTCTTCACCACTTTTGTCCTTCACTGCAACCCCTACCTACACGAAGTTCAATCCTGATCTCAGGGCTTTCTGCTAGTTCTGAAGTCAGGTCACATTTGGGCCCTGCCAGCCCTCTGCTGCTCCCGGCCTTAACTCTGATTGGCAGCTAAGGCCACACTGCCCCCTCCTACTTCTCCAAGGGCCAGAGATCTGATTCTTGGAGGACCACTACCTGGAGGTGCCTTTCCTCCATCCTTCTATGTATAGCTCCAACCCCCTACCTCTGACCTCATTCATCCCCAGAAAAGACAGCAGACAACTTAAGTTTGCTGCACACCACGGTTGTTGTTTACTAGGCCAAGCTAGGTTGAACCCTTCTTAGAGCCACGGCTTCTGAAACTTGATGATCCTGTTAGGGCTTCAGGAGGATGCCGCCACTGGGTTTGGCCTTGGACCCACAGTTGGCCAGAAGGGGTCAGGCAGCAGGTCATGGCGGTGGGATCTAGGCCCGGAGGTAGTTGCATTTGCCGGTGCACCTTCTGTTTCATGCGGTAACCTCCCCTAACCGGGTCGGTACTCTCTATCTGCCGCTGGCCGGTGACCATCAGGTTTCCGCCGTCCACCTGCACCACCAGCTCCTCAGGGGTGAAGCCATGAGCATTCATCTTCATTTGGAAACTTTTAGCATGGTCACTGCCCTGCACAGCGACCTGATCATCCCTGAGCAGTCGCACCGGCAGTGTGGCCACCGGGTTACTTTCAGCGAGAGCCACGCTGGGGCTCTGGTTGGAGAAACTGTTACCGACCTGCTGCATCCGAGTGAGCAACTGCTGTTGAAGGGCGCGAGGCTCTCTGTGCAAAGCTCAGAGCTTGGGTAGGTGCGCAAGCGCGCAAGAGGAAGTGCCTCACGAGGCCCCACCTCCACCCTAGTTCCTCGGTTCTCTTCGCAGCTGCTTAAGTCTATAGTTTGGGGTCTGCCATGCCTGTCCTACCTCCAAGTGTCAGCATGTCAACCAAGGCTGCTTTTACCTCAAACCCTCTCCCTCCCTATCTGCCTGAGAGGGCTGAGGCTATAACAGAACTGGATCTTTGGAACCAACTGCATATATCAGACAGGCTCAGGGCTAGAAGAGGGCTATTTTGTCTTCTAAGAACCAGGCCTGGGCGAGGAGGATTGTTTCCCGAGTACAGTCATCAGATGGGACTTTCTCCCCTTCTCTGTTTTTCCCTGACTATGCACAATCCGGTGCTGACACATGGGGAGGGATGTGGACATCACTCTAGCTCTGGGACTATAAAGACTCCCTCCTGGGGAGGCTTCAGCTTTCTTGGCCCTCAATCCTCAGCCTCATCCCCCACCTAGTAACTTTCTTCATGACTATTGTGGTCACTGCTGTGCCTCTGATGCTCCGTGTTTTGATAATAAATTCTTTGTTGAAGTGTAACAAAAAAAGTGTTCAAAAGGGTTCAACTGTCGAAAGCTAACACCCGTCTCACCACCACATAGCATGAGATGTTGAACTGTTGTTACATTTAATCTCCCCTGTAGTTGCAATTCTGTGTCTGGAGCTAGATGGAGCAGATCTTTTGATGGGAGCTGGGTGGTGGTGCTGGAGGTGACCCAAACCTGTGGGCTTGGGAGGGGCAGAATCCACAAGTCACCCAAACAGGTGCCTGTGTTCTGGAATGCTCCTTGTCCCCAAGAAGAGAGCAATCGTGACTACCCATATAGCTTCAAGAAAAATTACAAGTGAGGAGCGGCCAAAATGGGGTGCTCCTGGGGCCTCACGTGGTTGTCCTGAACCAAAAGACAAGACAGAAAAGTCTGGAAAGCAGAGGCAGTGGGGAGCGGCGGAGCAAAACTACAACTCCCATCGTGCGCCGGTGCAGCGACGCCTGCGCACAGCGTGCCGGTTGCCCATGCGGCCCTAGGGCTGGGAGCGCGGCGCCGCTCCGCTGCTGGGGAGGCCATGGCGGAACCTTCCCAGGCCCCGACCCCGGCCACGGCCGCGCAGCCCCGGCCCCTTCATTCCCCAGCCCCTGCCCCAACTCCGACTCCTGCGCCCAGCCCCGCTTCAGTCCCGACTCCGGCTCCCACTCCGGCACCAGCCCCCGCTCCAGCTGCAGCCCCAGCTGGGAGCACAGGGACTGGGGGGCCCGGGGTGGGAAGTGGAGGAACTGGGAGCGGGGGGGATCCGGCTCGACCTGGCCTGAGCCAGCAGCAGCGCGCCAGCCAGAGGAAGGCGCAAGTCCGGGGTCTGCCGCGTGCCAAGAAGCTTGAGAAGCTAGGGGTCTTCTCGGCTTGCAAGGTGGGGGCGGGGCCTACTGCGAAGGGGCGGGGCTTGGGGCATCCCAGGGCTCCGGTGGAAATGGGGGCAAAGCTCTGGATACCCAGCGGCCCCAGCTCCACGGGTAAAGCGTCATACATCTGAACCTTCTGCCTCCAGGCCAATGAAACCTGTAAGTGTAATGGCTGGAAAAACCCCAAGCCCCCCACCGCACCCCGCATGGACCTGCAGCAGCCAGCTGCCAACCTGAGCGAGCTTTGCCGAAGCTGTGAGCACCCCTTAGGTAAGGCAGGCATCGCCCTTGGAGCTGGGGTGGAGGGCAGGTTCTGGATCCTGTTTGGACAGATGACTTAAAAGCTACAAAGCCTCTTAGAAAAACCAGAGATCCCACCTCAAGAGAGATTAGGTTAGAGGTGTGTATGCTCCAAGAAAGGAGAAAAGAAATCTACCAGACAAGAGGAGGCAGGGACCATCCAAATACTAATATAAGGGCATTCGGTCTCAATGTTGGTCACACTGGGTAGAGGGAATAGGGTGTATCATGGCTGGTTGGGAAAAAGTGCAGGAAACCCAGTTGATTTCTGTACATTTTTCCCAACTCCATCACCTGTCCATTTTGAAGCTGACCATGTATCCCACCTGGAGAATGTGTCAGAGGATGAGATTAATCGACTGCTGGGGATGGTGGTGGATGTGGAGAATCTGTTCATGTCTGTTCACAAGGAGGAAGACACAGACACCAAGCAGGTTTATTTCTACCTCTTCAAGGTGAGCTTTCAGGGAATGAAGGTGTGAATCAAGGAGGTGACCTGTTTGTGTGGGGGAGGGTCCACAGCTTTGAGCTCTGCTGTCCTCTACTCCTCTTTTTCTCTTCCCTCCAGCTCCTGCGGAAATGCATTCTACAGATGACCCGGCCTGTTGTGGAGGGGTCCTTGGGCAGCCCTCCTTTTGAGAAACCTAACATTGAACAGGTGGGACGGGGAAGGTGGTAAGAGGAGAATTTGGGGCAGCTTGGAGGAGTGGGGAACCTCTGATGCCCTCTGTCTTCCTCAAGCCAAGAACAGGGGAGAGGTTCATAGAGGAGTATGTCCTGTGCTAACCTCAGCATGGGCATGGGGATGGGGAGGGGCATAGTGTCTCTTCACAGAGAGTCTCAGAGTGAGAGGAGCCTTGTCCCTACCCTCCTGGAGCATCTTTATTTGGGTGAGAAGCCCCTGCTGGCTGATCACGCCTCCTTCCGGTTTCATCCCCCTACCCTCCTTCTCAGGGTGTGCTGAACTTTGTGCAGTACAAGTTTAGTCACCTGGCTCCCCGAGAGCGGCAGACAATGTTCGAGCTCTCAAAGATGTTCCTGCTCTGCCTTAACTACTGGAAGCTTGAGACACCTGCCCAGTTTCGGCAGAGGTCCCAGTCAGAGGATGTGGCTACCTACAAGGTCAATTACACCAGGTAGGTCCAGCCAGGCACTCATGGGGGAGGCTTGTGAACCAGGTTCAGTGGTTTCCACCCTCACCTGCCAACCCTCTACCTCCAGATGGCTGTGTTACTGCCATGTTCCCCAGAGCTGCGATAGCCTCCCCCGCTATGAGACCACCCACGTCTTTGGACGAAGCCTTCTACGGTCCATTTTCACTGTTACTCGCCGGCAGCTGCTGGAAAAGTTCCGAGTAGAAAAGGACAAGCTGGTGCCTGAGAAGAGGACCCTCATCCTTACTCACTTTCCCAAGTAAGGCTCAGTCTGGCCTGTTGGGGTTTTGCCCCAAGTTCACATCCTCGCTGTTGTCCCCTTTTTTCCAGGAAGGCTTCCTGGATTGCTCCCTCCTCTCCCTCCATGGGCCTTCTGGGATCTGGGTGTCTACCTGGCAGACTTGCCCATGGCCCAGAAGCAACTTGCTAGTATTTGCCTTTGCACGTACTAGTCTGGGGATGGCAGGTACATGGCCCGAGCTAACGCTACCCCCTCCCACACCCCTTGTAGATGTTACTAATTGTTTCCCATGGGAGCCTGGACACAGCCTCAGAGTCCTTACCACCACAGCATTGCAAGAAACCAGAGTTTATGCATGAGGTGAAACCAGTTCCCACCTCTATTCTAGTCATTTCTGTAAACTTACCTCAGTTCTGCCACACCTTCCTCCCTTTTTAACCTGGCTTGTAGCTCTTCTGTTCAAAAAGTCTTTGCTGACTAATCCTGGCCCTCTAGTGCCCCTCCTGCCACCAGGTGGGAACAGGAGGTGGCAAGATGGGGTGGATTCTCAGCTCATTTTGATATTAAGGGGAGTGAGGGGACTCGGGTGACTTGGTGCCCTGCCTGACCACACAGCATGGATGGCATCAGCTCAGACTCTGTCTCCCTGTGCTGCCCATCATGGCAAAACTGGATCTCCGATCCCAGCCCTGGGTGTGTCCTGTCCTCTTACCTTCAATTAGAGGAAGCAGGGGGCTGTTTCTCCCCCTTCCAACTAGGGCTTCCCAGAGGGCGGAGGCTGTCTTCTCTCTCAGGCTCCCAGCCCCCTGAGAGCAGGTTTGTCTGGCTGGCCTCCAGTCCCTCTGGAGCCTGACCCAGACTGCAGCAGAGCTGGAGGACAGAGTTGTGGGACAGTCTATACCCTCTGCACAGATTCCTGTCCATGCTTGAGGAGGAGATCTACGGGGCAAACTCTCCTATCTGGGAGTCAGGCTTCACCATGCCACCTTCAGAAGGGACACAGTTGGTTCCCCGGCCAGGTATGTGGCACAATAGGCTCTGCGGGGTCTCTGCTTGGCTGAAAGAAGCGCCCCTCCCTCCTCCTGTGGGGTAAAAGAACTGGGAATGGCAGCAGTGGGAAAATGTGGGCAGGCTTGGCTGGGGCCGAGAGGGCTTGGATTCTTTTGAGGGACCTGCCAACACCTACTCCCTGTCCCTGATATTTTCTCTCTCTCAGCTACAGTCAGTGCAGCAGTTGTTCCCAGCACCCCCATCTTCAGCCCCACCATGGGCGGGGGCAGCAACAGCTCCCTGAGTCTGGATTCYGCAGGGGCCGAGCCCATGCCAGGTGCGTACTTGACCCCTGGCCTCTGACCTTTTCTCACCTTTCCTTCAGCCTTTCTGTCTCTGGGTGACCTTGCCAACCTCCTCAGCAGGCGAGAAGAGGAAGCTTCCAGAGAACCTGACACTTGAGGATGCCAAGCGACTCCGTGTGATGGGCGATATCCCCATGGAGCTGGTCAACGAGGTCATGCTGACCATCACTGACCCTGCCGCCATGCTGGGGCCTGAGGTGGGCAGCCCAGCCTATTGTCCAGTGGGAGAAGGGAGCCCTCACCCCACCTGAGGCCCTTGCTCACCTCCCCTGCTCTATCTAGACAAGCCTGCTGTCAGCCAATGCGGCCCGGGATGAGACAGCCCGCCTGGAGGAGCGCCGCGGCATCATCGAGTTCCATGTCATTGGCAACTCGCTGACACCAAAGGCCAATCGACGGGTGTTGCTTTGGCTTGTGGGGCTGCAGAATGTCTTCTCCCACCAGTTGCCACGCATGCCCAAGGAGTATATCGCCCGCCTCGTCTTTGACCC